TTGCAGAGCAACACTTCAAGTCGTTGGAGAAGATAGGCATAGCAGCTCCTGACAAAAGGGGTGAAGTGATCACCCTGAGGGCCAGCTGAGGAAGGGACTGCAGAGTACATGGAGTAAAGGATCCCTGCTGCTCCCCTCCCCCATCACTCTGGCTGCAGTAGGTCAGAGCAGTATCATGGTCTGAACACAGAGGTGCAGACCAACATTTGGGCCCACATCATGCAACTCAAGCTCAAGCATCTGCAGTGGACTGTTGGTAGCTCAGAGTCCTAAACTCACCCTGGTTTCAATGTGAGTGAGAGTCACCAAAATCAGCATGCCAACACCATTTTGGCAGCCCAATCTCACACAAGCTGGTGAAAGAAACTCTGCTAACAAGAGTGAGTTCCTGGGGCGCCTGGGTGGCTCAGATGGTTAAGTGTCTGCCTTCAGCTCGGGTCATGGTCCCAGGGTCCTGGGATTGAGCCCTGCATCGGGCTTCCTGCTCGGTGGGAAGCCTGCTTCTCCCTCTCCCATTCCCCGTGCTTGTGTTCCCTCTCTTGCTGTGTCTCTCTCTATCAAATAAATAAATAAGATCTTAAAAAAAAAAAAAAAAGGTGAGTTCCTCACTGGGCTGTCCTCCTGGAACCAGAACTGGCCATGAGACTCCAGAATGATTCCATATATGTAAGTCCTGGAGCTCTTCAAGGCATCTGGTCAACCTTACACATAAGTGATTGGAGTGGGGGTGGGTGGTGAGACAGAAGGTTGAAGAGCTCTTCAAAGAGAAGAAATAAAGAATGAGACTCACAGGGGATGGACTTGGTCTGGGAGTGCATCACCCTGCCTGGATGGCACTTCTGGCTCTGGCCAGTCTCAACCACTGGAGTAAGGCTTAGAAAACTTCAAGATAGAAATTTCTAACTAACAGGACCCACGTGGGGCCTGGTCTGGATTGGGGCACCCTACCAAGGTGGCATTGTTGGCCTTGGAGGGGCGCTTGGAAAAGTTTGAGGAATACCAATCCAAAATGCAGCACTCCTTGAGGCACAGGGTCTGGAGCAGGGGACATCTTACCTAGATCTAATGATGGCAGTACCACCAGCCACTGGATACTATTCACTAAGACTTAACAGTAGAGCAGGAAAGTGGGTTAGATGCTAAGCCAATGAATTTTTAATCCACTATCCATCCACCACCCCCACATCTACCCATCCATCCCACAAATGTTTGAGTACCTACACTGTGCCAGTATTGTCTTAAGTTCAAGAGAAATAGAAGTGGGTCTTCCCAACCATTATCTACCCCAAACTAGTTCTGTATATTTTGAAAAAGAAGAAAAAAAACTGGCTACAGATGATATACCTCTCATACATCTGTTAATAACTTTTCTTAATTATGGCTCTTGAAAGTGTTTTAATTACTATGAACGCATACAATTTACCCCAAATCTTAGTGGTTTAAAACACTGAAAATATTTATTTTGCTCATGAATCTGCTCTTTGGTCTGAGCTTAACAGGATTACCTTGTCTCTGTTCTGCTTGGTGTCAGGTACGGTGGCGTGAAACCTGGGGACTGGAATCATCTGAAGGCTTCCTCACTCACATATCTGGACATTTAATGTTGCCAGCTGAGACATTAGCTCAGGCTGTCAGTGGGAATATCTCCACATGGTCTCTTCGTGTGGCCTGGGCTTCCTACCAACATGGTGACTGGGTTCCAAGGATGAGTATTGCAAAAGGGGGTAAGCTAAGTGGAAGCTGTAACCTCTTTATGACCTAGTCCCAGAGGCCACACAGTATTCCTTCTGCCACATTGACCAGAACAGTCATAACCGGACTCAAGGGGAGGGAACATGGATCCCATTTCTCAGTGAGAAGAGTGTTGGTTACATTGTAAGAACTGTGGGATGGGTTTTGTATATCTATCTATCTATCTATCTATCTATCTATCTGGCCAACTTTGGGGAAAAAAAGTCTGCCAGAAAAGGTTAATATAATTCCATTTTTCCTATTTTGAATGCAATGCTTTTTTTTTTTTTTTTAAGATTTTACTTATTTATTTGATAGAGACACAGCAAGAGAGGGAACACAAGTAGGGGGAGTGGGAGAAGGAGAAGCAGGCTTCCTGTGGAGCAGGGAGCCCGATGCGTGGCTTGATCCCAGGACCCTGGGATCATGACCTGAGCCAAAGGCAGATGCTTACCGACTGAGCCACCAAGGCGCCCCAGCAATGCCTTTTAATACACAGTATTTAAGTACACAATACAAAGTGATATTCTGACATAACAGTTTCAGAGGAAGACACTCCCCCAATTTATTCTACTCTTCTAGTTAGAAATTATGATGTGTAACATGTTTGAATTGGGCACTGTGTTTGGAGAAACCATAAGGTTTCCCTCTGTGCAGCATTTCATGTTTCCTCAGTTTGTTGCACAGTCTGAAACACTTTCCTCACATGTTTCAAAGTGTTATGTTTAGTCTTTTTTCCCCCCACAGGTGTGCGTGTGTGTGTGTGTGTGTGTGTGTGTAGGTTATAACTTTATTCTTATGTTGGTTTAAGTGAAGCCCTCAAAAATTTTTAAAAAATGGTAAAGAAAAAGGTGCAGAAATGTATGACCTTTAAAGAATGACTCTTGGGGCATCTGGTTGGCTCAGTCAGTAGAGCATCTGACTCTTGATATCAGGGTCGTGAGTTCAAAGCCCCACATTGGGTGTGGAGCCTACTTAAAAAATAAAGAAAGAATGACTCTCTTGCATCTTTTCTCCACCAACCCCCACCAAATATTAAATCTTATCTTCCGACCAGTACAATAGTTCTTACACTTTGCATTTTATGTAAAAGCCATACTCTTTTTTTTAAAAGCCATACTCTTGACTTAAAATTATTTATTGCTTATATAATTTTTATTTGCATTATTCCATTGATATATTTTTCTATTAAAATATTTCAGTGTCTTGGGTTGGAATTGAACTTTTTTTTTGTTTTCCCATTAAAATTAATGGAAACATATATTCCTTAATTTAACAGCTTTCACTTAAGAGTCAGAATTTTCAGAAATGAATTGAAGTCACTAGGGGGGAACTAGATGCATTTTCGTTCTCTCCCTAAGAGCTTTCAGACAGCTTCCTAGTCCTGTGTCTGTCACTTTTCCAATTCCCACCATCTGTTGCTCTTTCATTCTGTCACCTTCATTATCAGCCCTTACCTGTCTGATATATTACAGATATTCAATATTATGTTAGAAATGAGTCTGGTTGAAAGTAACATATAACTCAACAAACTTTGGTCTAAAGATCTTCCCCGTCTCATAAAACAGGAAGGCAGTCCAGGGTTTGTGCAGCTGCTTCAATATGTCCTAAAGAACCAGGCTTCTGGGGTGTCTGGGTGGCTCAGTCCTTAAGTGTTTGCCTTCAGCTCAGGTCATGCTCCCAGGGTCCTGGGATCGAGCCCCGCATCAGCCTACTTGCTCCCCAGGAAGCCTGCTTCTCCCTCTCCTACTCCCCCTGCTTGTGTTCCTGCTTTCACTATCTCTCTGTCAAATAAATAAATAAAATCTTAAAAAAAAAAAAAAAAAGAGAACCAGGCTTCTTTTGTCTTTCTGTTCCACCTTCCTTAGCACAGTCCTCCTCATGGTCTCAAGATGACTGCAGCACCTCCAGGTGCTGTGCCTGAATTCCACGAGTGAAGTAAGGGAAAGGTGAAGGTCACCAATGTCTCCAAAGACTTCCTTTTTATTCTGGAAGGGAAGATCTCCCTTTGGACTTCGTTTGCATCCTATTGGCCAGAAACTTCGTTTTGTTACCACTCCTAGCTGTAAGGGAGGTTGGGAATGGTATGCTTTGCTTTCCAGTCTCTGTAATTCTGAAAGGCAAGGGATAAGTGGTTGGAAGAGATACTGAGTGATCCTCTTACAGTGTCTGTCACACTGTGTTTAATTGAAATGCATTGCTTTGATCCACAAAGTGTCCTGGGTATAGCCCCATTCCTGTCCTAGAACATTCTTACTCCTTGTTCCTCTTTCCTCTAACAACTTTCCTGGGGTGGAGCTGGGGGGGGGGGGCGCGGCTGGCAAGGTCTTGAGGAAACACTCTTCTCTTTTATCCTTTTTATGAGAGTATCAGTTCATGGCCTCTTCTAACCGAAGGTAAGGAGGAGTCAGCATTTTCTCTGCTCTCTTTAGCCCTTTTCAGACAACCATGCCTTCAGCACTACTCAACACCCTGATCCCGTCTTCTCTAAATATCAAGGACAGTCTCAAAGCCGTGGCTTCCCTCTTCTTCTCTCAGCCCAAGTTTCCCCGTTTACACTCCCAAGGCACTTGAGCTGTACCTACTTAAGGGTATTTATTATTTTCTTCGTTGAGGCTGAAACCAAATTATTGAAAGTGGTAATGTTTACATAATCTATGGTGCATCATAGGTGCTCAAACCGTTATCTCCTGCTATTATTATCACTATTTATGTCTTCTCGCCTATGTCAGACTCAGCTCCTTAACCAGAGGCTCTGATGTCTGATTCATCTTTGTAGTCTGCTCCTGGCCTGGAATTGAGTATTTCTTACAGTTAATGCTATGCCCAGGTAATAAGGGAGCAGCGGGAAAAGGGCAACATTTCAAAGAAAGGGTGATGTAATGGTGGGATGTGAGAAACTTCTAGAACCTGGGTAGGAGCCAGAATCTTGCAGAGAAGCCCTTAACTCCGTCCGCACAGAAAACACGGAACTCTGGACTGATTCACAGGGATGCAGGTGGAGCACCCCCTCGGCAGTATTGAGACGAGGTAGTTGCAGCCGTCACTTCACTCCTCCCACTCCACTGGATCCGGAAAGGAAGGAGGGAATATGCCCCGCGCGGCGATCTGGGATTGCTGCGCACGCGCAGCTTCCGGCGCCGTGTCTCGGGAATTATTTGACGCCGCGGCTTCGGACCCGCAGAAGTCTCTGACCAGGCACGCCGCGCACGCGCGGTGGTCCACTCGGTTCGGGGAGTTATTTGACGCTGCCGCCCCTGGCAGTCGGAAGTTGCCAGAGCAGAGCTCAGCCGGCCGGCCTGACCGGCCTTCGTCGTCCCCCGGGCGCCCTCGGAGAGTCGCTGACGGGTGGACGGACCGACCGCCTGAGGACAGCCGGCCTGGGCAGCAAAAGAGCCGGCACTATGGCGCGGGTGGCGTGAGGCGGAAGGCCGAGCGCGGCCGGCGGCGGCGGCGGCGGCAGCGGCAGCGGCGCCCGCCCCAGCGATGCGGGCCCCGCCCGTCGCCTCAGGTAACCGGACGGCCCTCCCTGTCGCGGCCGGACCCTCCCCTTCCCTCCCCTCCGGGCGGTCCCGGAACGGCCAATTCTGTCTCTCGGGCCCGGGTGCCCCAAGGGCCCTGCCTTCGGAAGCACGTCTCTGCCTTTCTCGGGGACCCCCAGGGTCCGGTGGAGCCTGGCCCTGACTCGGGGCTTGGGGGGGGGCGGTGGTGGCGGGAGTCGGCGGCTTCTATCGGGTCTATTCCGACCGGGTCTAGCTCTTGGGAGCTGCCCGGGCCGGGCGATGCGCTCTCCTGGCAACCTGGGGGAGGGGGCGGGTCTGGAGCGGAGCTAGACAACTCCGGCGAGGAATTTGGTCCAGCAGAAGGGTTGCTTGAGTTGCTGCCGTCCAGTGGGGACGATGTTGCCCATTGCACAGTGACAGTCGGGTGAGGAAGAGTTAATAACGAGAATAAACAGCAGACCCTTGTTAAGCGCTCACTACACGCCAGCATTGTGCCAGGCCATTACGTTCACCACATCTAACTTCACAACAAGCCTGTAAGGTAGGATGGTTATCCCCATTTTACTGACGATGCAACTGAGGCTCTGAATGGTTTGGTGACTTACTTGCCCAAGGTCACATAGCTGGTAATTTGGACCCAGGCAGCCTGACTCCAGGTCAGTGGTTGTCCAACTTTGCTGCATGTTAAAGTCACCTGGAGCCCCTTTTAAAGATTCCTGAAGCTTAGGCCGCAGACCCAGACCGATTAAATCAGAATGTTTGGGGGAAGCGGGGGAGTCAGACGTCAGTATTTTTTAAGGCGCCCCATGTGATTCCAGTGTGTAGCAAACTTTGGGAACTGCTGGGGTGGGCAGTCTTGTATCTCAGAAGACGTTTCAGTGAGTCTGCAGTTTAAGTGTGTAGGAGAATCATCTGGGAGTTTGTTAAAAATTCGAGTTCCACTTGCAAAGATCGTATCTTTAGGCCCAGTGACTACCCCACTTTGAAAGCCACTTGGAGATGGAAAGTAACTTTCTCTGCAGGATTTCTGAGTTGCTGTATCTTTACAGTGTATGCATCTCATGTAAAACTGTTAGTTTCCAGTTTTCCTGGATATACAGTACTCACAGGTCTAGTGTCTTTAACTTCTGGGTCATCTTTGCATATGCTGTTCTTCTGCCTAGGCTATCCTCCATGCTTTGTCCCCACTCCACCCAAACGCATACACTTCTGCTCTCTCTTATACATGTGCACAGAGCTTTTTCTTCCAGTCTCTGCCTGCCTAACTCCCAACATGCCCTTAGGGATGCCTATGTCTGTGACACTCAACCACCTTGGGTCGTTCTTATATGCTCTTTAGCATCATCATAACGGAATTTACCAATTCTTTATCTATGTCCAGTAGAAGAGACAGAAATGCAACACATTTCTGTCTCTTCTACTGGATTATGAGCAACTTGAACTATTTTTTTTTTTTAATATTTATTTATTTGACAGAGAGACACAGCGAGAGAGGGAACACAAGCAGGGGGAGTGAGAGAGGGAGAAGCAGGCTTCCTGCCGAGCAGGGAGCCCGATGCGGGGCTCGATCCCAGGTCCCTGGGACCATGACCTGAGCCGAAGGCAGACGCTTAACGACTGAGCCACCCAGGCGCCCCTTGAACTATTTTTTTGATCTCTGTTCCGCCCAGTGTTTTGATATAGACTTATACAGCTTTTACTGATTGGCATGTTTGAGTCTCTTCTATGTCATAGACTTAATGCTGTAAACAGATTCTTCTCTATTTCCATTTTTGCAAGAGGTGTTTGGTAGTTCTTAGCCTATAGAGTTTTGTTCTTTTTGCTTAGAAACACTCTAGTTAGGTTCATTAATTTATCCATCCAGCAGTTGGACAAACACATTGAGTTCTCACACTGGCAAGGCACTATGTAGGATGATATGTAATCAACACTGGTTGATTTTTCTTAAAATCGGATTTTATCATAATCAGATACAATCAGTTCTGCAGTGGAGACCTTTAATTGTCCTTAGGCCTTTGCATATGTTCCCTACCTTGCTGTCCAAAATAGTGTTTAGTTGTCATTTACTAAATGTTACTGCCTTGTGGGTACTTGATAAATGCTAGTAGATGGAATTGGCTATTAGTAAGTAGTTCATCCTGTTCATTAGGAGAGATGACATAAGTAGTACTTATGTCGGAACAGACCCGACAGAAGATTAAAACCTTGATGTCAGAGGATTTGACAAACTTAGTATATATTTATTGTAAAATGCCCAAACTGCTATTGCCCAACATATTTACAGATTTTAAAGAAAGGCAGGCCAGTCATTCAGATTATATTTGTTCTTGGCTGGTCGTCAAACCATGTAAAGTTTATAAAAGGGAATGAGTGAATGAATATGTATGTGAAGGTCATTATGAAGAGGTTTTTGGACAATAAAGATCTTTTTTATAGCAGTTAAATATGGTGAAGTATGTGGACTAAATAAAAATATATACATTTTATAAAAGACATTCTTTACAGGATAAGGATTGTTATAGAAAGATTCTCTTGGTTCTGTTTTGGACTGTTTTGTCAATTTTTAGGCTAAGGGTAATAGAGAAACTGATGGGACAATTCTTGTTAAATTCAGATACTGAAGAAACTTGCCCTTGTTTCTCTCTGATCAGATATGGACAGAGTATCCAGTTCTGGCCTTGGCGCATGGAAGAAACTCAATCTTTAAGCCTGATGTTTTACTCTGTAGTTGATATCCAAAGTAAAGGTGAAATATTTCACATGTTCATTAAAGACCAAAAGTGGGTCCAATCAAGATAGCCTGAGACTTAGAAATGGATTCTGTTTAATTTGAGATATTCATCATTGTTAGCAGATGTGTTTTCTGACATGTGTAAAGACCTTTTGGGTAGAATACATGATTTCTTTTGGTACAAGATGATTAAAGTTTTAAAATTAAAGTACATGGAGTTTAATTCTAAGTGGTTAGAGGTGAAGAAAGACTACCCAAGACTACATGGTTGGGTTCTAGCACATCAAGGGCTAGAAAGCAGGTTCCTTCCTCTGCACGCAGTATTTCCTTCCACCTCCATGCCCCACGTGAGAGGATGTCTTGTTTGTTGTTATTTTGTGTTTGTGTGTGTGTGTGTGTATGTGTGTGTGTATGTGTGTGTGTGTTTTGGGGTTGGGGAAATGACAGAGTAGTCTGCTATGTTTGAGATACTCAATTAGATGTATAGTGAATGCTTGGTGTGTGACATGTACTTTATATATTGAGGATACCAAGATAAATAAGACACAGACTCTGTCCTCAAGGAGTCTGTAGTCTAGTTAGAGTTGTAATAAAAATAGAAGTATAGTATCTAAGGCAGCTCTGCTGGGTAGAATTTTCTGCAGTGATGGAGCTATTCTGTATCTGCGCTGTCCAATATGGTAGCCCCTAGCCACATGTGAGTACTGAGCACTGGAAAGGTGACTAGTGTAAATGAGGAACTGAATTTCTAATTTAAATGTAAGTAGTTATATGTGGATATGGCTACTGTATTGGACAGAGCAGGCATAAAAGGCATAAAAGATGAGAAGTGTGGTGGTGCTGGTGGGGGGCGGGCAGGGTATTCATAGTATTCCTGCTTTTTTTTTTTTTTTTTAAACAGACTAGCAGAAACTACCTATTTACCCTTTTAGGGAGGAATGTCTGTCTTTCTTGTGATTCAGGTGTTTGATAGGATCCCCAACAGAATCTGGTGTATAGGTGAATACATTCCTTTCTGATGAAACTTGATTGATATTTGCCTTGTAGGGTCAATGGGACTACAACAGAAATGTGAACTATAATCCTTTTGTCTTTATTCGTCATAAAGTTATATGGGTGACCTTGAGAGCAATGTGTGCTTTAAAATCCAGCATGGTTCATTTATTTACTCAGTGTTTTGGCACCCTGTGTCCTATTTTTCCTAAGAGAAACAAGGCATGCCTGATAATGTTTACCTTGCCTTTGTACATCTTAAAGTATGTTGACTTAATGTCACTTTATTTGATCCTTCCCCTGAGTTACTTTAGGTAGGTACTGCAGGTGTTCTCCCTGTTTTGCACAAGAGGGAACTATGACAAAGAAATGCCAAGTGACTTGTCCAAGGTCATAATGATGAGGTATGGAGTCAGAACAAAAGGGAAGAGCACTGGACTTTGGAGCAAAAGGTGGAGTTTCTTGTCCCAGCTCTACTGTCACTTGATGTGACTCTGAGCAAGTTATAGCCTTTTTTGTTTCCTCACCTAGTGTGTCCAGTACCTTTGTCTTACTGAACTTTTTAGGCTTGTTATTGGAATAAAATGAAATAACATGTGAAAGCTCTTTCAAAATGATCAGTTTTACAAAGGTACATTGTTATCAGGCAATGTTTTTCTCTTGTTTGATGCTGACTTCAAAACTCACCATGTCAGTTAATCATGTTGAATACTGCAGTACTCTGGTGTTGTCATAGATTTGTCTTCCTCACTATGAAACCTTCCCTTGGGCAGCCATCGTGTCCTGTTTATATCTGCATACCTATACCTAGGACAATACCTGATACATAGCAGGTGTGTAATAAATTTGTTTCATGAAATAACTGATGTCTGGATTTACTTTATGAAGTTTTAAAAAAATTTTTCTCTGTAATTAGACTTGAAGCTTCTTGGGAACAGGGATTTCATTTATTCACTGTTATTATTCCCTATAAATATTGATTGAGTCAGTTGATGTAATTAATGTCTGGCTGTGGTCTCAGTGCATTTACCACTGCCACCATATCGATCATTTTGGTAATTTGTCAATTAGACCAAACCTTCATATTACTCTGCGGGTAGTACCTACAAACCATAAGCTGTTACCAGCACACGGTCACCTGATGATAGAAACCTCCAGGGAAATTACCTAGAAAATGGACACATAGAGTTGGGAAGAAATTAAGTGATCTGCAGGGGAGCATTGTCATCATCATCTCCTTCCTCCTGTCATATTTACTTCTGGAGACTTCTCTGCTAGTAGCTC